GCTGCAGCCCACACAGTCAGCAACGCCCCTGTCACAGAGTACATGTGAGTTACCACAGCTGACACTGAAGAGAGAAAAAAAAGAGCAGTTAGAGCCAGGCAGAAGTTGCAGATGATGTGTGTGCAGGGCAGCATTAGATTTGTACTCAGCACTCAGATGTCAGTACCTACATCCCCAGAGAGGAGCACAGGTCCAGTCAACAGAACCAGCTCAGAGAAAGTCTGTTAGGAAAGAGGAGACAGGGTGAGCGTGCTGGAAGTTTGAACACAGGCAAGGAGAGGTTTTATATTTTTTCTCCGTAAGGTTTCAACACGTAGGAATCGACATTGTTGGCGTGCGTTGGTCTTTACTTGCTTTGCTATCGATTTACAGCAGATCCCAGAACGCCAGCTTCCAGAACTCGCGCTGCGAAAACACGCCTCTGATTGGACGAGAGTCTCCCCCTCCATCGGTGAGTGAAGTGTTCCCTAAATAAATATTTACTCCAAAGCTGCACCTTCGGTTTATTTGACAGTGACCGTCTCCTGGCCCGATTTATTTGGGATAAACAAACCAAGGAAACATCTGTAGTGTTTTGATCACTGCAGTACTGCAGGATCAAATCAATAGGACAACTAAGGTGTTTTTAACCCAAACCCTCCTGTACTCCCTGAGACTGAGATCAACGTTATCATGAACTCATCTAACTTATGGGACAGTTTTTGTCGATTTGATCCTCTTAAACTAATGCAGTGGGATTATTGCAAGAAGAAAATCTATTAGCTGCACAATGATTTTAAAAAGCGGAAATCATCTGACAATAAAAAAATGCTTACTTCTCAGATCCGCTAACGCAGTGGATCCCAACCTTTTTTTCGGCGTGTGACCCTCATTTTGATTTTTTTCATTCATGTGAACGTGGCTTAATCAAGTTGTGCCAGCTCAGATATTTTTATATAATCGATTTATATTCATGAAAGTGGAAGGATGTAGTTGTTTAAGATTGTTTAAGGTGTTTTTAATCATGATTTAAAAGAAAAAAATTACTAAATACAATTTATATTATTTATAATTACTAGACATTTCACGCGAGCCCATTTGCATTCCAGACAACCCACATCAGGGTTTAATAACACTGCGCTAACGGTTGATGGATGATATTCTTGCATCTTCACCATCTTCACCGTTGAGTTATATTTGGACCAGTCTATACCAGTCAAGATATTCTTGCATCTTCACCATCTTCACTGTTGAGTTATATTTGGACCAGTCTATTGAGTATTTTGGTTAAATATAAAATCGTAATAGGCGTTAGTTCTCTAGCTTTATCATTTCCCTACCAAAATAGATGAGATTACAAACCTTAAAGCACAGACAGGCAAGGATTTTCCAGTCATATAAGCATTTAGTACCCGTAAGGCATCGAAAATAAAATGCATATTTTAATGTATAAGTATGCAAATACAGTACAGACCTGTGTACCATGTGTATAAAAATACCTGATGTGTTTTAAAAAAAACTTTTTCTGATCCTGGTTTGTCCTCATTCTTCACACCATGAACTAACCAGTCCCCTTCAGACAACCTTTACGAATGTGGATCTTTGTTGCCACCGTCATATTAATCAGCACGACAAAAGTGTGCAGTAGTGCGTGCGATTTCAATCCGACAAAAGGCAACGTCCGTATATGTTTATGTTAAACGTGACGGTTTTTAGTGTACGTTTATTTTACGTACTACGTTTGCAACTTATTGTATAAAATCATTGTTTTACGTAACAGTGGGCAGAACGGCCACCCTTACTGCAGTAGAACTACGGGAAATACTCTCCTCCTGCACGCGTGGATAGTGAGTACAGATCTTAGCGGGTGTTTGCGGTTGTCAACTGAGTGAGCGATGCTCGTGTTTTTAACTTCCTGCTCCGTCTTCGGCCCGAGGTCCTCCCAGTGTGTTTCTGTTTAGCCGTAGACACTGCTGTATGTCACATCTCTATACTCTATCTTTTTCTGGTGTTTCTCCCCCTTCCTGCACACCCACACAGTTGTATTTGACCGCTGCAGACAGTGACAGTGGTCACTGCTGGCAGCTAAAGCCTTCGGACAGTTCCAGGTCGTTTTGGTAACCTCGTCTGCTGTGCTTACAGGTACAGAACAAGCCCACCCCCTCCTCCCGCTGGCCTGTTCCTCCTCTGTACCGTTTCCCCAAAACCCCAGTTCTGTTTCCCAGCTCTGCTCAGGTCTAACTTAGGCCACTGACCCCCTCCCCCCCCCATCCCTCCCTGTCCTGTTTTTGCCCTATTCTGGTGTCCTATCAGATGTTTTGTTTTCTATTGTCCTTAGTCTGCATGTTTGCCCTGACCCAGGTTTGGTACCACAGAGGTAATATATGCAGTGCTCGTCCACGAAGCTCAGTGCGATCTGTGAGTCAGCGACGTATCGTTGTCAAATTATGAAGCATGAACTGCTGAACTGTTCTGTCTGTAGAATCTATGCAATCGTAGGAGAAAATATCAGCTCTCTCTGTGACAGGTTTTCTACTCGTCAAAAAAGTATCGTAGTCTTGGAAGA